GCCGCTCCCGACCACCGCAGCCTCGACCTGCTGGGCTCCGGCGATCCTTCCGCCTCAGCCTTCCAAGTAGCCGGAATTACAGGCATGCGCTACCACGCCCGGCTGATTTTTTGATGTATTGTAGAGATGAGGTCTCGCCAAATTGCCCAGGCGGGTCTCCAGCCCGCGGGCTCAGGCAATCCACTCACCTCAGCCTCCCAAAGCGCGGGATTACAGGCTGAGCCACTGAGCCCAGCTAACTTTGTTTCTACAAAAGAAAAAAAATTACAAATTAGCCAAGCATTATAGCACATGCCTGTAGTCCAAGCTCCTTGGGAGGCTGAAGCAGGAGGGTTACTTGAGCTCGGGAGTTTGAGGCTGTGGTGAGCCATGATTGTGCCACTGCACTCCAGCCTGGGCAACAGATCAAAACCTCAACTCAAAAAGAAGGAAGGAAGGGAGGGAGGGAGGGAGGGAGGCTACTATTTGAGTCTTCATAGCAAAAGAGGTCCTAATGACTTACTCCTTGGACAATATACTAGACTCACGGACACTGCATCCTCAACCTGCTGGGTTCAGGTGATCCTTCCACCTCAGGCTTCCAAGTACGTAGAACCACAGACACATGCCACACCTGTCTACTTTTTAAAATTTATTGTAGAGACGAGATTTCTCCAAGTTGCCCAGACTGGTCTCGAACCTCTGGCCTCAGGCAAACCTCTTGCTTTCGCCTACCAAAGTACTGGGATTATAGGCAGCCACCATGCCTGGTCTAGACTGCCTTTTCTTGTTATAAAATTATATAATATAGAGTATGATCCCCGCTTTGTAAAATCTATAAAAGTCCCTAGTGTGTGTGTTTATAGGTATTAAAAAAAAAAATAGGTCTGTGATCAAATGTGTTTCAAAAAAGATGATTTTTTTTTTGAGTTGGAGTCTCACTCCATTGCCCAGGTTGGAGTGCAGTGACACGCTCATGGCCACCCCAGCATCAACCTGCTGGGCTCAGGCAATTCTTCTGCCTCAGCCTTACAAGTAGCTGGAACTACAGGCGCATGCTACCACAACTGGCTAATTTTTTGGTTTATTATAGAGATGAGGTCTCACCACGTTGCCCAGGCTGTTCTCAAACCCATGGGCTCAGGCAATCCCCTCACCTTGGCCTCCCAAAGTGCTGGGATTACAGGCTTGAGCCACCACACCCAGCCAAAGCTGATTTTTTTAAGTGAAGCAGGTTTTTTTTGTTTGTTTTTTTTTTGAGTTGGAGTCTCACTTTGTCACCCAGACAGGAGTGCAGTGGCCGCTCCCGGCCACTGCAGCCTCGACCTGCTGGGCTCCGGCGATCCTTCCGCCTCCGCCTTCCAAGTAGCCGGAATTACAGGCATGCACTACCACGCCCGGCTGATTTTTTTTTATTTATTGTAGAGATGAGGTCTCGCTGCCCAGGCGGGTCTCGAACCCGCGGGCTCAGGCAATCCACTCACCTCAGCCTCCCAAAGGCGTGGGATTACAGGCTGAGCCATCGAGCCCGGCTAAAGCAGGTTTTTTTATGACCCTATTTTCAGTCTTTCATAAGCCAATATGCATTATAAAACATTCAGGGAAGGTTATGCCATGCAGTGTTTCCCAATGCTACTTGTCAATAAAGCTTTTATGAAAGAGTGCCTCATTAGCACCAGTAAGGAATTCACCCAGGAAAGACAGACAGATGCTTGAAATGGCCCCCTGCCATCAAGCCCATAACATCATCACTTTTTTGACACTTTCTTACCAGCAACCTCTCAATAATCCAATTGATGGCCTTTCCCCAAAATTCATCCTTACCAACTTCAGTAACACCACTGATCCCTCCATGAAAATGGCTTTGTTTTGAAAAGAAAAAAAAGAAAGAAAAGATGGAGGATGGCATGGTTAAGAACTGGGAATCTGACTGCTCTAAGAGTCAACAAGCTACCATTTGAAAAATTCAACCAGCCTGCTAGAGAGCCCCACCCATCCTCGTCACCCTAGCTAAGGCACCAGAAGTCCCAGCCACAGATGAGCTCGCAGATGAACACAGCTCACTAGGTGACCCCAGTCAATGCCACAAGGAACAGAAGAACCTTCCAAGTGAGCCCAGTCATCCCACATAAACAAATGTTTAGAAGGATAAACTACACAAACTCATCAAAAAGGAAAACCAAATGTTCACATTCCAAGGGAGTGGGGTAACACAAACTTCAGTTCTTCAGGAGTCAAGCTCCCAGCTCTATTCAAAGAGGTGTGAGAAAGCCGATCAAGGAGAATGTAGGTACCAAAAGGAACAAGTAGACAGAATATAGGGTTTCCCACAGGAAGAGATCCACAGCATCATATGGACATGGCCAAAACAGTGCAAAGTGCACTAGAATGAAATAAACTCTTCTAAAGAAACCAATGATAAAGACTACACATTGAAGAACTATCAAAGCAAAAGCTAAGAATTGGTAATACATACCTGAAGTAAATTGGCATCTCAGCACAGACTATTCAATACAAAACAATATCCAACCTACATGAGGAAGATCTATGCTAGACACTTAGCAGTACTAGTACTGGTTAAAAATTATCCTCTATTTCTTAAGAAAGAAGGGCAGAACACTAATAACCCAGAACCTACTATATATGCTTCATCTCATCTTCTTAAAGTCCTGTATTAAAAACAAAAACTTATAGCTCTTATAAATATCTGTATTGGTAGATGATAATAAATTTTGGATGAAGATTCTAATAACCAAAATTACTTGAACAATTTAACTAAAAAGACAATTAGCAATTTAAATTCAATCTCAGTAGAATTCAAAGAAAGGCATTAACGAATGCCATTTTTTACCTATCAAAATGGCACAGGAATTTTAAAAAGAAAAAATAAAATCTGGCAAAGTTCACGGAAATTGCCGATGAATAAGTGAATTTGTACAACTGTTCTGGAGGGTTACCTGAAACACATTCAAAGTCTTCCACATCTGCCTACTATTTCACCTAGATAGCTCACTTCTCTATATTTTTCCAAAGGAAAAAATTTAAGAGTCAAATGTTATAGGTATTTAAGATATTTGCTGGGACATTGTTCAAATAGAAAAAATTCCAGAAAATCCTTCAGTGTACAGCAACAAATGGCTAAATGCATAATCTATACATGTAGTAGGTCTCTTTGGTTTTTTTTGGGGGGGGAGTTGAGTTGGAGTCTCACTCTTTGTCACCCAGACTGGAGTGCAGTGGCACACTCACGGCCACTGCAGCCTCGACCTGCTGGGTTCAGGTGATCCTTCCACCTCAGCCTTCCAAGTAGCTATAACTACAGACATACTAGACAGTAGTAGGTCTCTTAACTGAACTCCACTTAAAACCTTCACAGAACTCCCCCAGGTCCGTCCCTTCCCATTAGCCAGCTAGCTTCTCCTCTCCTCATCATGTCATAGGTAGATATGCAAAATGCTGTACTGAAGGGCCCGAGAAATCTCAAGGATGGTAGTACAGCATGGAGAGACAAGCTATTATCATACAGCACGTGCTGGATTTCATGACTTAAATTGTATACCTCCAAGATAGTTGTTTGCTCCTATGACTATTTTATGCCAGAGGTGTGTATTGGTATTAACTGTGATTTCAATAAACATTACATAAATCAATATAAATATGTTTTTATAAAAAGTTTTCCAGGGGAGTGGGCTGGGATGTTGTAGAAAAAAAAAAAAAAAGCTTTCCAAGCCAGGCGTGGTGGCTCAAGCCTGCAATCTCAGCACTTTGGGAGGCCAAAGCAGGAGGATCACTTGAGCCCAGGAGTTTGAAACCAACCTGGGGCAACATAGCAATTCAGTCTCCACAAAAAATAGAAAAATTAGCCAAGTGCAGTGGCATGCGCCTATAGTCCCAGCTACTCAAGAGGCTGAGGCAGAAGGATCGCCTGAGCCCAGGAGGTCGAGGCTGGGTGAGCCGTGATCATGCCACTGCATTCCAGCCTGGGCAACAGAGTGAGACTCTGACTCATAAAAAAATGTTAAAAAGCTTCCCAGCTAACACCGAGGCAGAGACAAGTTGTGACCACTGATCTAGAACTCACTAAAGACTGTTTTCTCTAGGAGTGCCTTTTTCAGAGATTACTTTTTTCTTCTATGTAGCCTGTTTTTTGTCTCTTCTGAACTTCAAGTTCCCCTACCATCAAGGAAGAAACTTCTTAGCTGCAAATTAATAAGAATGCCTCCCTTTGGGCTTCCTAGGTGGCATTGTGATATTGGCTATGACCCTCCTTGCTATATTCCTTGAAAGCAGTACAATGTACTGTTCAAGAGTACCCTGGACTCACACTACCTGGTTCTGAATCCCAGCATCACCACCTCTTATCTGTTGGACCTTGAACAAGTTACTTAACCTCTCTGTGCTTCAGTTTCCTGAGTGGCCTAACCCTATGAGGGGGTTACAGAACCTGCCTCATAGTGTTGGTTAGAAGAAATAAATGAACTAATACATGCCAAGGGATGGGGATAGTGCCTACCTAGCACTTGGCATGTGCTCCATAAGCATAAATAGCTACTACTATTATTGTTCTTGTTTTTTAAGCAGATATATCCTACCCAGCCCCTCACAGAGTGGGCCAAATATCTTCCTGGTGAATGAAAGAATGACCAAATGGGGCTATGTTTCCTTATCTAGATAATCTCTGAACACCTCCCTCATGGTATGGTTTCAAATCTAAAGCTTCCCACAAATATTTACAGATGCTGTATCTTTTATTGAATCCCTTCACCCCAACTCACCATCAACCTTCTGCTAACAATAAAAGTTGGGAAATAGAGGGAAGCAAAATACAAAGGAATTTTGTAGGGCTTGATGGGATTTTAGACAACACAGGGTAACTGGTCAGGTTTAAAGAATGTCATCCAAATGCCTTGGCAGGAGGCCTTGTATATTAATAGCTGCACTATGTGTAAGAAAAGAACGCATCCAACTGTGTAAAAAGGCATTCTGCCCTAATTTCTTTAGCAGACAGGAGGCAACATGGCAGGTTCACAAATTGTTTTAAAAGCATTTATTGTAATAATTATTTCTCCCCTCAGCCCCATCTAGCTACTCTTTTCTGATCATCCTAAAAGCTTGAGCACATTCTCCTTCTCCACAGAGGAAACAACACTAAAACCAATATACTTGATCAGGCCTTCATCGGGCATCATGTCACTGTGGGTGGGGTGCCCGTTTTCAACAAGTGACATTTTCCTAGGGCTCCACAAGGTAGTCCTTTCTCACAGTCACTGGAACACTCATGGAGTTGAAATGCCGCTGCCCATCTAAGTACAACATGGACTCTGAAATATAAGAAAGAAACCCTGGAGAAACTTGCAGGACCTTAGAAAATCACCATACAAACATGAGACTACTTGAGAACACTGAGACAGAGTGTACTGGGCTGGGAGTATGCAACAGGCCATGACTCCCATCCCTTTCCTTTGGCTGGACCAGTTTTTGACTACCATAGCTGTCTGCAGCTGATATCAGCCCTGCAAACAAAAGCCAGTGGACAGAGCAGCAACAGCTACCTGAGAGTCATGAAGCATTTTTGGCCTTCCAGGATGTAGGATCTCGTTTTTTTTTTTTGAGCTGGAGTTTCACTCTGTCACCTAGGTTGAAGTACAGTGGCATACTCAGCCACTGCAGCCTCAACCTGATGGGTTCAAGCGATCCTTCCACCTCAGCCATCCAAGTAGCTGGAGCTACAGGTGTGTGCTACCATGCCTGGCTAATTTGTTGATTTATTGTAGAGATGAGGTCTCATCAAGTTGCCCAGGCTGGTCTCAAACCCCTGGACTTAGGCGATCCTCTCGCCTCAGCCACCCAAAGTGCTGGGATTACAGACTTGAGCCACTGCACCCAGCTTAGGATGCAGAATCTCAAAAGCAAAATCTGCTAAAGACATGCTCTTGTGCTGACAGGCCGATGCCCTTTCTACAACAATCCAAAAAGAAAACAAATTCTTTAAAAGTTCTTCCCAGGCAAGTGCAATGGCTCACACCTATAATCTCAGCACTTTGGGAGCCCAGGATTTCGAGACCAACATAGGCAACATAGTGAGATCTCATCTCAACAACAACAAAAAAAAATCAAAAAATTAGCTGGGTGTGGTGGTGTGTGCCTACAGTCCTATCTACTCAGAGGATAAGGCAAAAGGATCACTGGAACCCAGAAGATCAAGGCTGCGGTGAGCAAAATAAAATGAAGATCAAAACTGGCTGGTATCAGTGCAATACACCACTGTCTGTTCTACAGCCTGGGAGACCTGACTCAAAAAAATTAAATAAATAAAGGTTATAGTTACAGTTATTTAAAAAAAAAAAAAAGTTCTTCCCTTTGTTAGGGACAAGCAATAATCACTGCTTACCTCCATATGTTTTGGGGAAAACCAAGGGCACTTCTTTTTCTGACATGAACGTAAAATGAAAGACATTGGTAGTCATATGCTCTTTATTCTGAAGGGAGGCCACTTCACTGTGTACTCTGACTTGAATGTAATTATTCTGAGTAAAGCATACCTAACAAATTATAGACATTATAATTAGTCAATTGCATTAGGAAGAAAACAGTGGCTTTAGGATACAGAAATTTCTAGGTCCAAATGACTGAAAAATTGTATTTCATTGTATTTCATTTCTCATTCCACACCTACCTGTGAAGAAAGAAAGAGCAATGCGCCAACTTCCACAGGTTTCTGAAACATGATGTCATCAACTGCTACTACAAATGGTCGGGAACCACTATTGGGGAAAGACAGAATTGGGGATAAGTTGCAAAATTCAATGATTTCAACCTTTTCCCCCTAACAACCAGTTGAAGCAAAATAAAAAGGAACAAATAATAAACTTATAGAAGGGGGAAATTACCATACCAGTGAGGAATGGTAAGAGATGCCACTGTGACCAGATCAGGGCCAAAATCACTATCTTTTTCCTCCTACATATTATCACTGTATTTTCTCAGTAGTTCTTTAATATACTAACTTACAAAGACAGAGCAACAGCCTTCTAAAATGAAGATTAAAACTGGCTGGTATTAGTGCACTATTCATTTAAAAATATAACATATTCCCAAACACATCCAGACCCTTCCAAAGTGCTTCATTTTAGTGGGGTGATGTAAACTGCTTCTCAGAAGTTAAGACTGTCTTAAATCTAACTCACCCAAATTTACAAGCAGTAGCCCATGCAAGTTCATATGCTTTCCTCATAAGGAAACCACCAAAGATCCGATTGAAAATATTCCGCTCCTACAGGATATACAATAAATATTAATGAATACAAACTTATGGCCACCTTCAAATACAGAACAAAGGAATTAACAATGCCATAGAACAAAGGTCATTTTAAAGGGGTCTCAAATCTTGGACCAATATCATGAATGCAAACTATCCTATTTAAAATATTTCACACTAAATTACAATACCTGAGGGTGGCAAATTTCCAAACTCTTCAGTTTTGAGTTCTCCATCCATACTGCATTAGGAGGCAAAACTCGACTCTGAAAACTTATAGTCCTGTACAAATGGATATTTATTAAACCTGGTTAATGCCATGGTTTCACTTGAAAATTTTATTATTTGTAAATAACTCCCAACACACTCAGGCAGTCATGGTTCTGGAGAAGGCCATAGCTTAAACACTTTCCCAATTTGGAATCTCACCATCCTAACTTACTTTGGATCCAGTGTGTTAAGAAACATCTCGTGTATAGTGGTTCTTTCCTCAGCATTGGGAGCCATTTTCAGTAAAGACATGGAACTGAAGGCAATTCTTCTCCCCTTGTTCACTGGAATATGGGAGAGTAAGGAGAAGTGATCAGGAAGGTCACACTATGGCACAGGGGTACCTTGGATCCTACAGTCAGTATTTCAAGATTTAAAAATCCCACTGGAAGTCATACATACATCCAAGAGAAATCTGCAGAGACCACATAAAACTTTCAGTGAGTCTCTGCCATCAAATGGAAATTACATCAGCTTAGTGTGAGACCACTCATAATCCTGATCTAAAGCCTTGATTGGCAGTTATCCCATTAAGATAAACTCTTTATCTCATTAAAACTAAGAAAACAAGTAACTTTACTTCATAAATACTGTCTGGGCCAGGTGCATACCTGTAATACCAGCACTTTGGGAGGCCGAGGCAGGTGGACTGTTTGAGCCCAGGAGTTCAAGACTAACTTGAGCAACATAGTGAAAACGCATCTTCACAAAAAAATAAAAAAATTAGCCAGGCATAGTGGTGTGTGCCTGCAGTCCCAGTTGCTTGGGATGCTGAGGTAAAAGGATCACCTGAGGGAGACGGGGCAAGATGGCGACGGCATAGGTGAACTTGTGAGATTCTCTGAACGTGAGTTCCCAAAAAGGCTATCACTTCGCTACCCCCATCCCCCAGCCCACCACCAACCGCGCTGGGGGCAGGCCCGGGAACTTCAGTCCCACGCAAGGCCAGATATTGCGCCCCCGCCCCACTGCTGCCGTTCTACTCGTGTGTGGAAAGTCTCCGGTCCCAGCCCCCTCCAGATCCCTCCCCGGCTGCATTGTCTCAGCC